TCATGTGCTGTGTTCAGTCGGGGACTACACTGTGCCACAGTTGCTCGGTAGGGAGTACCTAATAGAAACTGGCCAAAATCACACACTGCTTGAACTCTCTGGGGGTCTGCAGGAGGCAGGCAGCAGTGCCACTAGGAGGCCTCAGATCTGGGCTCTGCCCACTGGGAAGGCTAGAGAGATCACCCTGGTGGTGGTCCTGCACAGCCCAGCCAATCAGAGGAGCTCTAAGGACTGCAGCTGTTCAACATGGGAAGGATTTGGGGGCCCTCTCCCTCTTTTCCACTTTGCTGATTTGAGCATGTTGGACCCTGGGATCTCCTAGCCCTTACATGCCCTCCCCAGTTCTCCCTCCCCCACTGTACACCTTTGGATTCAGCCACTGACTTTTATTTGTGCTGGTGGTGGGGGCTAAGATGATGCCCCACCCCCCTTCCAGTGGCACAGCCAGTGTAGAGCCTGGGCGGGGCAGAGGTGGATAAGGCTCCCACCTCTGCTACTGTTCCCCCCCCAGGAGTCCTGCGCTGGCTATGCCACCATGGTGAGGTGTTCCCTGCCTACCCAGCAGCAGTGAGGGACACAACTCCACGCCAATGCCCCTGCTGCTGCTGAGTGGGCAGGGGGCACCTTGCCATGGTGGCACAGCTCGTACAGGGCTCCTGGGGGGAGGACAGCAGGGCAGGGATCCCGGAGCCTGCAGCGAGCAACCCGGATCGACCCCTGGCCCATGCATAAATCTCGGGGGCATGTGCCCCACCATGTTCCCCTTCCTAGGAGTGCACAGATGGGCAGGGAAGCTTCCCACCCCCGCCCCCTGGATGAGCCACCCATGGCTCTGTCCTGCTCCATGCCCTGGTTGGGCAGTGCTCCCAGGCCCTAAGCCACTCCCTCTTTCATAGTTTCATAGTTGATAGGCTTGGAAGGGACCTGAGCAGATCATCAAATCCGACCCCCTGCCACGGCAGGAAAAAGTACTGGGGTCAAACGACCCAAGCAAGGTGTTCGTCTAACCTCCTCTCAAAGACCCCCAGGGTAGGAGCAAGCACCACTTCCCTTGGAAGTTGGTTCCAGATCTTAGCCGCCCTGACTGTGAAGTAGCGCCTCCTGATGTCTAATCTGAATCTACGCTCTGCCAGCTTGTGGCAGTTATTTCTAGTCACTCCCGGGAGTGCTCGGGGGAACAGGGACTCCCCCAATGCCTGCTGGTCCCCTCTGACTAGTTTGTAACAGGCCACTAGATCCCCCCTGTGGGGGGCCTCAATCTGCCCCTCTCAATAGACTTATCTGCAGGCAGCTGGGGAAGCTGCTCTCCAACTCTGCATGGGGCTGTATTCCTGGCCATGTGCATGTATGCACACGTGGTAGCCCCTGTGTCCTGCTCCCTGCAGCCCCTTGCAGGTTGGAACTCTGCCATTTCCCATGTTTTTCCATGGTGAATGGAAAACCTGGATCCCTGCACAATGCTGAGGATCCAAGATAAATTCTGTCCCAGTCATGCAGCCCAGAACCAGGACTTGATGTTCCCATTTCTGGACTGTCCTGCATAATTAGGGACGGGTGGTCACCATACCCTCTTTCCAAGGGGGGGCCAGGGCCCTCATGTACTCAGCGCCTATGGCCATGGGGGTATGACTCATAGACCTTACACATAGACCTGACACTTGAGGTCATCATACTGCTGCTTGTACCTACACTGGTTTTTCTGCATGCCTTAGTATTGTAAGCTCCATGCAGTGCAAGATCCTTGTCTGGGGATTGGAGGCCATAAGGGATTAATTCTTTTCTGTCACTGACCTGTTATTGAGTGCTAACGGCTTCTGCTTATCTTCTGGCCTGATCTTTGGCTGAAGGAAGAAGCTTGCAGCAATCTGGATCTGCAATATCATGAACCCTACGACAATTCCAATGGTGAGTCTGTACCGGGTAGAGGAAGAGAAAAAGATCCAAGTTAACATGGCCTGGTTGGGTGGAGCCTGTGGTAGTAGTAGGGGCCTGTATTTCATTCCCAGCCCCTGAGCTGGTTTGCTAACAGCCTGCACCTGGTGGGGCTGTTCACACTTGTGTAAAGGAAAAGCAGAATGGACATAAAATCCTCCCTTTCTGATTTGCAGGGTTTTATGCCTACAGACACATGTAGAGGAAAAGGCTAGAGCCCCAGAGGACACTTACTTGCTGGAGGATTGCTTTCTGCCCTTGCCTGTAGCCAGACCCTGAGACTCAGTGTACAGCGGGGCCTGCCTCCCCAAATGCAGTGGGTGCAAGTAAGGTGAAGTATTGTGCAAGGGAACAGATTCCCCAAGGAGGGACTCAGACGGTAGTTCTAGGCCATGGCTTCTTGGTCACTTGCTGTGCATGAGTGTTTCGGGAGGGGAAGTGTGGGGTGTGTGCTGATACTGAGTTGAGCTCCAGAGAGCAGGGTGCTTGAAGAGCAATGTTAGGAAAATCCTGTTTAGCCTCCCCAGCCTGTGTGGATCACCGTGACTGCAGGCACTCCACACCCACCACAGACTGGCTCAGGGAGAACTCTCCACTGGTCTCTAGGATGTGAGGGGCATAAGGCTGGTATCTCCCTTAGCAAACCAGAAGAGTGGGCCCAGTGCTAATGTCCAGGCCCCAATGCCTGTCTCACGCCTTGCCATGTAGAATCGTGTGCCACATCTGTTCCTTCTAGTGTATAAGCATGTGATGCAACTTGTACTAACCTGTGGAATCTCCGTCCTGCCTGCCTTAGCCTGCATTTCTCCATAGCTGCTCATTCTAACCATGTGGTTAATGAGCTGGTTGTCTAATATCACCAGCTGGTCTGTTGATAATAACCCAGGTGTGTACCTTGTCCTGTGTCTCTTCATGCAAGGGTGCAGGAGGAATTTCTGGGCTCCCAGGAAATGGTTAACATCTGTGGGGTTGAGGTGTGATTAATGCCCTGGCAGTGCCCAAAACCACTGCTCTTGAATACACTCATGATAGGTACCTAGGTCTTGAGTTTGGTGCTGGGGTGCCCGTCCTGATGCCTTTACTATCTCATTTCTGGGACTGATGCATGTGCAGCAGGAATGTGCAGGCAGGGTTTATTTCCTCAGCAGTGAAGCCACACTGTGTGCTGCCATGGTGTAGACATGCCCTGGGGCTCCTCAGCCCCATGGTCATACAGTGACAGACAAGTAGTGACAGGAAGAACACTTACGCGCCGATTCCCAAGCCTTTTGCCATTTCCAGTCCGTGGCCATGCTTTATTGGTAGAACAAAACTGTATACAATTAGGACGCCAAACAGGCACTGCACAACATGGATTATCAGGTATCCTGGGAAACAGAAAACACATCCTCTGTAAGAGGGGAAAAAGGGCAAGCACTCTAATTGCTGTTAAATGTAGGTTCGTGCAGCAGGCTTGACACGTACCCCATAGGATGTATGCAATTTGCCAACCAGAGTATCTTGCTATGGCTGCCTGAGAGCAGAGAAAGAAGAAGGACAGAAGTTCATTATATTGGGAATGCTCCATGTTCAAGCAAAGACACCAAAGCTCCTCTGAGGTCTCATGCTGCTCTTTACCCTCACCCCCTTATTCTGCCTTTCAGCTCCATGCCCCATTGCCCTGCCCCTTATCATTTCTCCACATGTGGAGTGAGTGTAGAGCACCTGACTGCATTCTGGCTAGGGAACAATTCCAGCCCGCCAACCACTCACTATTTATTTTGCTCTGGCAAAAGAGGCCAACAAGGTGTTGGGCCATGAGGAATCAGACCCATGGCTTTGCCCGTGCTCCTTTGCCACAGACCCCAAGGCTGACTGAAGCAAACCAGCAAGGTAAATTGAAGTGATGTGTTTGCAAAAGAGGAAGGGTAGCTGAGGAGCACTTTCTGGAGGAGGGGAGGAAGGAGGGTGTCTACTTACTGGCCTTTAAGTCCTGCATAGCACACACAAAGGGATGGAAAGTAAAGCCACATTCACCAAAGAGCCATTGTGGAACCCACCCAGTGGCAGCCTGCAGGAGTATTAGAAGCTGTTTATAGACATAGGATCAAGGGGACAAGCAGTCTCCCCTCCTTGATGTCTATGAGGAGGAAGGCTCCAACCCAGCATACACATACATACATAACTTGAAGCATAAGGTGCCTCCTGAAGACAGTGAGACTATTCACTAGCTCAAAGGTAAGCCTGTTCATGAGTGCTGAGCTGTGGTCTTCCCCTTGTTTTCCTGGAGTGCAGCCACCTGGCAGTAAGCCGTACCATTTGCTTGGCTGAGTCCAAGATGCCATTTCTGTTGGCTTTTGAGAAGAGGCTTCCTCCCTCTGCATTCGAAACCAAGTTACAATGTTTCCCGTAACAGACCTCAAACGCCTCGGACACAACGGCAGCTCAGTGCTCTGATCTTGTGTGCGCTCAGCCCCCTCCCTCCAGTCCAGTCC